CACTTGAATGATTTTTTCCTTTTTTATATCAATGAATAGATATAACTTAACATAGTAATTTCGCTAAAATCTTAGTTATTTCTAAAAAGTGTTTTACGAATCTATTATACATTTTAATTATATACTAAGGTTTGTTGGATTTATTTATTTATAGTATTTAAGGAATTTAATGCATAACAATAAGGAACGAATAACCATTTCCACCGAAAAAATAATTTTGAGCGAAGTTTAATGTCGGTTGATATTGATTTGCCAACAATCTATATATCATATAGTGGTAAAATAATTACACGTGTTTTATATATTTTCTTTCTTAATATTTGTTTAATATTATATCTATTTCTCGTTTTTCATACGTTTTTCTTGGTTTTTCGATGTTTTTTTACAAGGGTTTTTATTCCTATTTATTAGGAAAACACCTAAGAAAATAAAAAAAATTGACCTTCCTAATGTACCATCCTAGTCAGATTTTGTTTCAGAAAAAGTGCTATCATTAAAAATCCTGGTAGAAAAGTTCATACTTGCAAATCCTCCGGTTGTGTAATGACCACAAATAGATGCGAACCCATCCAAAACTTAAACGGTTCTGGCCCATAATCCAATGAAATTTTCGTTATTTTATCCACAACCACTGGAAAAAACAGAAATCGTACGTACATTAATATAACTTATGTATTTATGTAACTTAAATAAATAAATATTTGTGTGGTTTTGTATTAAAATGTTTATAAAGCTATACCGGTAAAATATGTTATTAAAAGTATCATTCAATATTTGCTTAGTATGAGTGTAATTTTGTTTTGCTTTATACTCTTCTAATAAAGAGAGGCAAACAGTCATTGCAACATTTTCAAAACTAAGGTTATTGCATATTCCTTTTAAATGACGAATTCGGTATTAGTCATATTATGAAACATGCTAGTAAATTTTTTTAAATTTATATAACTTTTTAAACTAAATATCAAAGCTTATAGGTATCTCGACTCTCCATTACCATTTACTTTCCTAGTTAAAAATGTTATGCCGAGTGATATTAAATTCAATATAGAAATATATTCTGTTTAATTGCTGGTGTTTAAATTCAGTTCTTACCATATCGACTCAACATACAATCTGGTAATTACACTAGCGATTACTTATTTGAGGTGATATTTATGTCTACTAGTATACTACTCACTTTCAGCCGACCCGATTAACTCAAGCGCATTTCCAACGATCGGCCAAACTTTAGGCCCATTCATTTTACTGGTCAATACTTTACGGTGTGAAAGTTCTTTTCGATTCAGCAGCCACCTGTGTCCGAACCATAACGCGAAAAGAGCGATCGCTGCGTAACCTGCGATTGGCTGCCATGCTACACTCTTTATCGATTGCGAATTTGCTGCCTCCATCTAAATGCATATTTATTTATTTATTTGAACGATATAATAAATATCTCAGAACCACGCGCTCGCTTTTCAAATGACGTCAAATACTCGTAATAATTATTTATTAGTGTTTTTCGATAGCTAAGGTAACACGAAAAATTTCACTGGTGACTTATTCGTATTTTTATTGTAATCATTCGATAAGATCGGAGTTTTCCGATATTTTTTTCCCGGTTTTCACATTAAATGAGAATACTCAAAAAATGGACTTCTTATAATACCTCCTCAGTCCAATTNTGAACTGGAACTACTTAATTTAAATTTAGAGGTGTTGAAGCACTTCTGAATACTTAAGTAGCTCAGAGTACTGAGCCTACAATGGGATCGTGATTGACAGGTTACACGATAAAATAGGTTTATAGAAAAGCACGTAATAAGCAAACCGTCTTGGGGTTTCCATGGTATAAATGCGGATTTCTAAAAATGCCTTTAAAGACGTGTCTGGAGCCATTGACTGAAAGCACCTAAACGCCAGATTGTTTCATTAATATTAATAAAAAGTTTTTGAATATTTCGACAGTCAATAAATACACTTTTATTAATTATGTCCATCTTTTTTAAGTTTTGTCATAATTAACTCTGATTTCAGTGTGAAATGGTCGCCCGCTACGCTTTGATAATAAAACTACATTCGAAAAACTGCACAATAATATGATACACTATTATTTATACAGTTATTTAAATAATAATTTTGTTTTTTGTATTCAATATCTGTCTTATATGTTACATAACTATTGAAAATATTAATGTATTTATTTCAATTGTTAATTTAATTGCGAGTACATAGTTTAAAAATCATTGTAATAATATTTAACATTAGATTAAATATTATTACTATACTATTTTTCATTTTTAAATACATTACATTTAAATGTAAAACAAATAAGACAATACACAAGAAAAAATTTTTGTGTAACAAATCAATCCTTACTATATAGGGTGTTTTACAGTGTAATACAGACGTTCTATAACTCCATCATTATTTATATTTTTAATCGAGTTTTGACACAGTGAGAAAGAAATAACTTTTTCACTTTTCAAATTTGTCAAAATAGCTATTTCGTAAAAAATATTACCATGACAATTCTAATGTCCCATACATTCATATTCAATAAATTGTTTCTAAGTAATATCCGTATAAGTTTCAAAAAAATTGGTGTGAAAACAATTAGTTTTCAATAGAATAAATGAAACGCGATAAGGAATCACAATCTGCAGGTTATTCCTTATCATTTATTGAAAAGAATTAAAATATTTTCACGTCAGTTATTGAAAAATTAAAACAGATATTACTTAGAAATTGGTGATCGAATATGAATATATGGTACATAAGAATTTTTATAATTACATTTTTTATAAAAGGGATATTTTGAAAGGTGAAAAATAAAGTTGTTTTTTTTCATTGATTAAGGGATCAAAATACATTTATTCTCCTCTAAATATGTATCCAACTGACCAAAAACCCAAATAGAAAGAATAAGCTCTTTTTAAAAAAGAATACTATGTAAAATTCATATTTTTTTTTTAACATTAAGTACGACATTTTAATGAGCTTCCTGTTAAATTTGTAAGCATTTTTGTATAGCCTGAAAATTTTATCCTCAGATAACCAATCGAATGCAAGTTACGTACAAAACTCACATAATTAAATATGTATTGTTAACTTAAAAATGGAACAATTGTTTGGAATTTTCATACTATGCCTAGAAAAAAATAATATATGTTTTCTATCTCTAAATATCTAAATATAAGTAAGTCTCGATGAATATAATAAATAGAAATGCATTATAAAAACAGTATTAAAAATAATAAAAGAATTATTTTCGTATATTATCTTGTACTTTCTGCATTTGTTTTCGGTTTTGTTCAAGTATTGAAAAAATACGAAGAAAATTAAAAAATGATTTTCCTGATCACCAACTAGTTTTTAAAATGGACAAAGATATCTTTTTTACGTTTTTGTATTGGAGCAATATTTATAGTAAAAAACACAAGCTATATGATATTAAAAAATAAAATCTTTATACCATAATTTAGGAAAAATTGTATCAAAAGGAAAAAAATTACTCACTTGTAATTTTTCAATTGGAGAAATATTTCTCCAATTGTAAAAATCGTGTCAACATAATAGAAATGATGATTATTCGAAAACCCACTGGGAAATCGAAAAGTGACCTTTCCAATACACCAAAGAGAAAAAATTATGCCTCAGAAAAGTAGTACAGTCCACACTTTGGAGCAAGTTAATGGTAAAAAAGTGATTCTGAGGCAGAAAAAAAAATAAAAAAATACAACGTAGTAAAACCAATAGATCTCTCGCGAGTCATCGAATCTAAAAAAAATAAATTAAAATTACCTAGCACTCGAATTACACTGCCTAAAATGTATTGAAGTACATGTGATTATAGCTTAACTCTTCTAATATTTTTAAAAACGAATACTAAAATGAAAATATGGATATTCACGTGATTTTTGACGATTTGTTGGTAATTTTACCGAATGCTAGTCTCTGTTGTATTTTTCGCTGATGACGCTGTTAAACAGTAATGTATTTTGAAACTGAAGACGGTTGAGTTTTCGTTGTGCCTGAAGCGTGCAACTGAATCAGCACGTAATGGCTGGTGAACTAGTGATATCTTTGAAAATTGTGTCTTAATATACAATATTTCTCTATTCCATCGCAACAAAAAAACAATAATACATACTCTGAAAACTACTTTACCGAAATAGCGTTTTACTAATTTATGACAATGTTACGAAACGAGCATTCAATTTGTATGTACATATTTTAATCTTTGGTTCGATAAAACATCATTGTTCTTTATTTTATAATTAAATTACCATCTATTGTTCACTATTCAATTTTAGGGTAATGATATTACACCTTACTCTGCGCCTCCGCGACAAGGATAGTCCAACGGAAAAATTCGTGGTTTCATTTTTCAATTGTAACTAATTAATTGCATTTTTTTTTTTAATGTCGAAAAAAAATATAAATTAATTAAATTAACTAGCCTTCAATCGTTGAATGCGATTCCATATTAGCGTACTAATACATCAATTATAACAACTAATTTACATTAAAAATTAGATTACCACATTACATTACCTTCATCACAGGTCGAGAACATGTTATCAAGGCTGCCTCACTTTGGACCGCATCAGGTATAAATTTTTAGGGTGGCCATTTAAAATTTTGGGATTAATTTATGTAGTGGCACGCCATAATCCCACAAAACAACGGTGCCGTCTTTAAAATGATGCAGACTTTTATTAAGTAGAATACATTTACAAACACCGGCATTTTTTATTAATAATAATTATAACACCTGTGAGCGTATTTTAAACCAAATAAAAGTTTAAAGATCGAAAGGCATGAGCGCTATCATGAGAACAAAATCTTATTGTCAAAACACGTGTTGTAAGCGTCCCTAGTAGGGCGAGTCTGGAACCATCGATTAAAATCACTTTAATATCAGATTGTTTTACACACATTTTTTAAAATTTTTAAATGTATTCAATAAAATAAAATTGTACATAGAAATTTTGTTTAAACACTTCGACTTCGGTCATTCAGTTCGGAAAATTATACCGATATTTGTAATTATCGTACATTCATAAAATGTAATCAAGAATAATTAGGATATAAATAGTTACGTACAAAAAAAAAACACTCGGAAATCGTTGAAAGTACAAAAATCCGAATACCCTAAATTTTCGAATGTCATGGATAATCGAGAATATTCGGGTTTGCGGATTTCAATTATCCAGGAAAAACAAGCCTNACGATTTTTTTTCCTGTTTACAATTTATCTATTAAAAATTTTTCTTAAATTTATAATATTAGCTAAAAAGGTAATTGACTAGAAAAGTACTTTAGTACGAAGTTTTTTTTGATTTTCCTGAGTTCTTTCTTAGTTAATGTGAAAAACCTAAATAAAACATCGGAAAACCGAGGATAACTTAAAAAAACTGGGAAATTCGGTACAACATTAAACAAATATTATGAAAGAAAATATTTGAAGCCTATTTAAATATTCTACTATAAAATATATTGTTGACAAAGCTTCATTATCAACTGAACTCCGCTGAGAATAGTTACGCTCTTTATCACGTTCAGAAAAAAACAAATTTACGTTTTCTGTCAAAATATCATTATGCAATATTTTATTAACTCATGTTTTCCACCATATTTATAGTAAAAAACTTAAGTTAAACATATTGAATAAGTAACTTAGCAAATAAATTTTAATTTTTTGGTTTTTTCCAACTATTAGGAAAACTAATTTTGATATCGAGAAGCACTTTACCTTGTAAGTATCAAAATATGAATAAGATTGAAATTTATTACTAATCATTTATCGATGAAGTAATATTTCTGGTAGTAATCATCCTTTAGACATAATAAAATAAAAGAAAACGGTTACTCCGCGGTGTGTCGTAAATATTTGCCGTTTTACCTACACTTTTCTTTTGGGTTTTTCACAATTATTTCGAACACCCATTGTAAAGTCGAAAAATGACCTTACAAATGTACCAACGAGAGAAAATTATCTTTTAGAAAAGGTCCCATAGTACATACTTCTGAGTAAGTTTTTGGTAAAAATGTTGTTCCTAGACGGAAAAAAAATAAAATACATACGACATAGTCAATCCAATAGATCCCTTACTACGCTCTGAATCTAATATAAAAATTATTGTAAAACTAATACATTCCTCGCTCCACTCAGAATCTAAAATGACTTCTAAACATTCATCCAGCAGTATGTATACCCCGACACTCGTATAAGCCTTCGAATTCTTGCAACCATACTCCCTCCCTCATCGGTAGCAGTTGTTTTTACGTGATGGTAGTTGATTAATCTCTCCTTTTTCTGTTTTATTTACTTTTGTGCTGACCTGATTTTGTCGAGTATAATTTATTATATTTTGAGAAATTTAGTTTTACTATTTATGATAGATCATAAATATTTTCATTGAGTTGTGTAAAAATGCAACCTGCATTAGAGCATGCACGTATGACGCTATTATAACGTTTAATAATTTAGAATAAAAACCTTTTAGAATGTTATAAGGTCTTGTTTAAGAGTTACTCTTTTACATCAATAAATAGATTTCACTTAACACAACATTGTTACTTTGCTAAAAGTTCGGTTATTTTTAATAATTTAGTTACGAATTTATTGTACATTTTAATTATATGCTTAGGATTTTTGGATTTATTTTTTTATTGGAATTTAATGTATAACTGTAAGCAACGAATAACCATTGCCACCGAAAATACGGTTCGGAGTGGAGTTTGATATCGGTTGATAGTGGTTTGTCAGTATCATATATGTCATATAGCGGTAAAATAATTACACGTGCATTA